TAATGGAACGGACTATGCAAGAGTAATTTATCGAAAGAAGCATTGGCTACAACGTCAATTCTCATTTAAAGCATACAACTAAAATGACATCCTTAATAACGATGACATGAATAACACAACGACGTATGCAAAATGGTCTACTTACCTCAAGCCTTAGCTTGATTTTAAGAGGTCATGGGCAGACTGCAGTGAAGAAGCACCAAGATCTTGGAAACCTTGTTTTACAGCTTGCATTGTGTATGGTATGAACTTCAAAACAGAACCATTGTCTCATTGTCTGCAACTGCCCCAACCACCCCCCGTCCAATTTTCAGCTTAGCTATATCCCCCAAGTACCTCTGTTCACTCCCTTTTGTCATTGCTTCAATATATCTCATGTCTCGATATTTTTTAACTCCGGCAACCATTCTAATAGAAAACATGAAATCACTTACATCACAGAGTTTCGTTAATACAGGTTAAGCATGCTGAAAACTAATCAACAATGACAAAGAAATAACAAACAACATGTTACTTGTAAAAGACAAGTATTCTGAAAATCCGGTGCAATTATGCATGATATATACATACATATATATATACAACTTTTGCTTTTAGTTCAAAATTAAGAAAATTTAATCAATTGCTTAACAAGATAATAACCACTAAAAAGGAAAACACACAGAAATGAAATACTCTGTCCAATACAGTAGACAAGTTCAGCTTGGACTTGCATCCATGAAAATCCAATCACAGTACCGGACCCTTACCTAGCCTAATCCTAACCCATTTTGCTACTGACTCTCCCCACTTGGGCTAACCCGAAGGAGTCTGTATGTAGGCTTCAAACTTATTAAGTTCAGGTCATCAAGGAGAGTGTCCATGCAAACATGGCATTCCTAATGATGTAAAGGCATTAAAGATTGATGGCAAATCATAACACATCAATGAAGTAAAACTGATCTGTCGAACATTATTGATGCAGTCCAAAAGGGATGAGAAACAATTCAGGATGTCTAGACAACATGGATACATTTGATCCTCCTATCCATAGAGGTATGTTACTGGATAACTTGTCGTCTCCAAGATCAATACTCATCAAACTAGAATAATTTTGCAAGGAATTAGGAATTTCACCGCTAAAATTATTGTTGTTGAGCTTTAATATTTGCAATGAACTTAATACCCCTAATGAAGTGGGAACATTACCAGAGAGATTGTTTAGACCAACATCTAAAAATCCTAGTTTGCTCCCCACACTCCATGTACATATGAGGCAATTCTCCAAAAAATTGATTGCTCCTTAGAGACAAGACTACCAATTGTTGCATGTTGCAAACATAGGGAGGAATAGTGACATTCAAATTATTCTCATAAAGAGTGAAAATGCTCAAATTAGGCATCATCAGGCCAATATTAGAGGGAATTGGCCTGGAAAATTGATTGCTTCCAAGATGAAGGTAAGTGACATTAGTGGATTACCAAAGTAGGAGTGGGCCCTCTAACTGATTATAACTCAAATCAATATATTTTAGACTTGAAATTTAAAAATGTGAGGGAAGATTTCCACAAAATTAATTGTTAGACAAGTCTATAAAGATAAATTGGGAAGATATCAACTAGAGGTGGAGCGTGTTGGTTTGCGTCGGTTAACCGAATGTGGCGGGTTGGTTTGGATTAGTTCTCGATTTGTGTGAAAAAATGAAAGTACATAATAAATTTTTCTTCCAAAAGCTACAGAACATAACAACAATATGAGTGATTGCTCAAAGGAAAGCACAAATGAAGCAGCCCAATGATATGATAGCACCAAAGCAACAGATGATGCGTTCTCTAAATGGTGCCCATGTTCTTCTCGAAAGGAACTCTTAAACTAATCGATTCCCAATTGTTTTCATGTGGGGAAAACAAGATAACTTGTAAATAACTAACCATTTATATTACTACACGTATTAATTATGATTAAAAATTAAAATTAAATATATACGGGTTCGGTTAACCGCACCCTAAGAATTTTGAGAACCGATTGACAAACCGATTAAAATCAGTGCGGTGCGGTTTAACAACCAAAAATTAAAAAACAAAAAAAAAACAAACCAAACCGTAGGTGCGGTTCGGGCGGTTCAATCATTTTTTTTTTAAATGCCCAACCCTACTATCAACCATTCCTCTGGTATGGAATCCGAGATTCCATTACAATTTAGGAAGATGTCAACTAGTTCAATTTGTTGTTGAAGCCATATCCAAAAACTAGGACTTACCTGACAGTTTATGATCACAATTGTGTGGAGCTTGAAAGGAGGAATCCAATCATAAGCCACATCGAAAATGAGGGACATGGGTCGGTCTCTGTTTCCTACTTGAAAATATTGTAATCGGGTAAATTATGAAATGGGTTTCCGTTAGATTGCCTTCCCATAAATTTGAACATTTTCACTTCTTAACAAGACACATGTCATTTTTTTTACACAAGAAAAAAACCTTGAAGACCTTTGAAATTATGTTTTCTATTGAGAACTATTATTCGCACTTTAATAATCTCATTTTGCACTCCTAACAAGTGTATTTTTATCTTTCTAAATATAGAAAGTTTGGAATATAAAATGAGAATTTTTTGGAGTGTTAAAAACAAATTCCTTTCTAGTTTTCATCATTAATTTTAACCAAAAGCATTAAAGGTCTTGTTTTTGTATAAAAAATGGCATGTGTCATTTAAAGAAGTGACAAGGCTCAAATACAAATGTTAGTGCAACTAATGCTAGCACACCCTTTTATATATAACCCAGTAAGTGATAAATAAACAATAGCAAAGAGAGCGCAACTTTCTTTTAGCTTATTTCTTCCATTGTCATCTAAAACTCGACATCATTCTCACTTTTACCTGAAACGCAGATTAGGTCATTTGTGTTCTAATTATTCAACCAAAGTGTTAAATCTCTACTAATTAATAAAACACTCATTGTCAACCAAAATCCTATGAAATTACCAGTTTAACCCTCTAATTAAAACAGAACATGAATAAAAAATATGGGACAGAAATGTAATTTCACACAACCAAATTTTGCTGTTTTTTTATTTCAAAACCTCACATACATGTGATCCTAATATATCTCTAATTAAATAATAATAATAATAATAATAATAAAATAATAAAATAAAAAACTTCCCACTCCCACATTCTCTATCATTCTCTTCCAAACTCCTTCTATTTCAAAAACAAAATAAAAGGGTTAATCTCTGTTTACTACCCTAAAGTTTCGTGGTTTTCAACATTTGGTACATGAAGTTTTTTTCATCCCAGAGTCATACCTCAAGTCTTAAATTTGGGACAGTTTCATACATCCGTTAAGTTTTCCGTTATAACTTCTGTTCACTGATGACATGGCACCCACGTGGACAATAAATGAGCGCCACGTGTCAATATGGGTCCACTTTAATATTAAAAAATTTAAAAAAAATACAAAAAAAAAAATCCCCAACCCCCTCAGTCCCTTCTTCCTTCTACAACCGTCTTCTACCTAAAAGCAAAACCCCAACTCAACGCCCAAATTTTCATTTTGAAGGATTGGAAGGCGGAAGGGTTGTTGGGCTTGACCGCCGGAGAATGCGCACTCTCCCACTTTAGACTGGGTCTCCCTCATCTTCTCCGCCACGAAACCCTCGTTCTCAGCCTTCTTCGTCTTCTGCTTCCGCCGCCATTGCTTCACCTTTTTGCTCAGCCTTCTTCATCTTCCCTGCAATTTTCTTTGAATCCCTACCCTCGCCCGTCTTGAACTCCAAATATGCATCTGCATCTAAATCCAAAACCCTAGCTTCGTCTCCACCATCGTTCTTATCCCCATATCTCAATTCAACATGGAACTTTCTCAGCACTCATTTGCGGTCGTCGTCGATGTTAAAGAGCTCGGACAGAGTGTTCCAGGCCTTGACATTGCACAACTTGCGCCGGGTTGGGTCCGGGGCGTTGGTCGATGACGATTCGGGTCTCGTTCTGGAACACAACTTGCTTCTTCGGAGCTCATACCCATAATGGGGGTTATGGATCGAGGGTTCTTGGTGAGGCAAAGGGCGCAGAAACCGGTTATAGGTGGCAGTAAGGTGGAGGGAGGGATCAGAGGAGTGAGGGTGCAGAGGAGAGAAGGGAGGGAGAAGGGAAGGAGGGTCGGGGGAGGTAGGAGATAATCCAAGTTTTTTTTTATTTATAATTTTTATACTAACTAGTTAGCCACTTTCTAGCTGTTTTCCAGCCAAACCATAGCGAGTTAGCCATCGAGAAGTATGATTTTAGTTGAATAACTCAATTTCGTTGAGTATTGAAGAAGTTATGAACGTTTAAAGTTTACCCAGTTTCTAGAGAGTTTTCTAGTTTTCCCGCGAACCAGTCACCTTTCAGGTTATTTTCCGGCCATCTCCGGCAACCATTGGGCTTCCAAATAGGTATAATCTTGTTCTACACTTTCCTATCTTCATTTTGATATATTATGGGTCGAATTTGGTTAAGAATCGATTGAGTTACGAAGCTTTGAAAATTGTCTAAAGAGTTTTTTAATGGAATGACCAAAATCATGGATGATGGACAATCTCAGGGACCATTTCTATTGATTTTCAATCTCAGAGACCATTTCTATTGATTATGCAAATCTCAAGGACCATTTTGGCTATTTAGCCGAAAAAAATAAGAAACCTTTTAGTAATTAGTTGCTGCTGTCTAGAAAGTGTTAAAAATATTTGAAGCATAAAAAGTTGAAAACATCTGAAGTACTTAACGAAAAGATGAAGTAAATGAGCAATTGCTTGAATACAAAGTACAGGGCATAAACATGAGAACAACCCTAACACGCATGTACTGAATACAAAAGTAGTTTGTGTATCAAGTTTATGAGGACGAAATAACTGGTATAATTGTTATGATATAATGTAAGGGTTCCATTTCTATGCTACAGATGGTATGGATGCACGAAACTGAGAGATTTTTCAGTCTATTTGGATCAAGGTCTGATACATAAAATGTAATAATAGTGTTGGATGGAAAGTTGAAAAGAAATTTCTAATTATTTATGTAATGACATTTGGTGTATCGGAGTAAGACCATGTTTTCCGGTACACTGAAAAATTTCTCTACAAGACCACTCCAGATCATTCAATACTATTAGCATTTAATGCTATGTAACATGGAAGAATTTTCCGTAATTTAACTTTGAATAATATTTTATTCAATAATAAAAAAAAATTATTTGCAATCAGGGGCGATCCCTGATGGGTCCTAGATGGCCGGCTCATGGGGCTTCCCTTCCTATTCCAGGTGGCTTAGAACCTATTGGTACGTCTATTGACTGCACTTTCCTTGCTAAACTGATCTCCATTTGCAGATGCGACCTGCTAATCATCAGCTTCCCTGCATCATACGCAATGACAAGAAGAAACTTTCATAATTAGTTAACATATAGATGTTGAAGGCTGGCAACCTTTCCAATTTTCTGGTTTTTTTTTTAAATTTTATTTTTCATTTGTTTGAGAACTAGAAACTGAAAACAAAAAATAGAAATCAAGACAGATTTAAAAAAATATATATAGCGTTTAATTTTCATTTAAAAAAATTGCAGACGAAATAGTTATCAACCCTAGACAAGAATTTAATATGGGGGAGAGAGAGAGAGAGAGAGTAACTGTGTACTGGATGTTCAGAAACATTGGCAAAGACTAATTTTGATGAGAACAATAGCAATAGAAAGAAGGGAATCATGTAAACACCGCAGGCCTTGTGATTGTGAACCATTTTAATTACTAGCTGGAGATACAAAAGTTTGGCTCCTTCCTTCCCGTTGCTAGCTATCAGCTAAAGCTAGCCCTTTATATATTATGCGATCTAGGCGACACCACATATCTAAACGCGTTTTAGCCTTTTTTTTTTTTTTTTTAATTATTAGTACTTATTTGGCATCGGACTGACTACTGCATGCTAAGTCAAATTAATGGACTAGTTCAATCTTTCATACAATGGAGATCGTATATGTACGTGATTCGGATCCCAACCCCAGTCAAATTTAAAACCAAATGACTTGGACATAAGTTTGAGATAATTAATAATATATTGACGTATATTAAAAGCTATAAATGGATGAGGATCCTCTCCAAATTTTCTTTGTGAGGATTCCTATCCGTTTATCGTACATCGTGCAATCAATTTTCGTAAGATACTGTTTGTGTTTAATTAAAAAATTCAAAATGATTTATAGCCGCACGATGTAAGATAAATGGATGAGATGTGAGGATTGGATCCTCACAAAGAGAATCTGGATGGAATCCAAATCCGTTATAAATAAGAAAATAATAATAACTAAGGTACAAAGCTGGACTATGAACCAGCTTCCAGTTATGCATGAAAACCCTAGCCAGTTTAAGGAGATGATTAGTTTTTGTGTACGCAAGTAATGCAATTATATCAAGCTCGTATACAAATGTTGGTATTAGACTTGCGGAATGAAGCAAGTACCTGCTCCTTCTAGCTTATTTTTATTCCGTCTCATCTTGCAATGTAATCTCACTACAGTAATTTAAAGATCATTTTTGCCAAAAGAAAATAATTAGTTGACGTATATGCTTAAAATAGGTGGGCAGTTAAATCGGTTCTAATTTTATACATAAGCACACCAAACATCGGATTTTTATTAAATAGTTAAATTTATTGGTGTTAACCAATCTTGATCATATACAGAAGAGGGAGAAGAAAATTATATCAGACTTAGAGAGAGAATTAGAGATAGAGAGAGAGAGAGAGAGTACTTAGAGAGGAAGTAATATGTTTGACTTTGATTATATTTTTCAATGTTATGTTTACGTCATCCTTATAGTTCTTATATACAACTCATGTTGCCTAACTGTTTAACAAACTACTAACTACTTGTCTAATCTTATGACACTTGTCAAGAGTATAGCCCTTAGATTGATTACTCCTTACATCCCCCCTCAATCTCAGGGGCAGCAACACTGAGTCTGAGATTGGAACAATGAGTCTTGAATAATGGAGCAGACAATTCTTTAGTTAAGATATCTGCAAACTGCTCAAGGGAAGAGACAAATTGAACCAGCAACAAGCTTTTAGCCACCCTTTCTCTCACAAAATGAACATCGATTTCAATGTGTTTTGTGCGCTGATGCTGAACATGATTACATGTAAGAGCAATTGCAAAAAGATTATCACAATAAAGGGTAAGGATACCAGAAATAGAAACTTGCAGGAACCTTAACAATTAAGTAATCCAATCTATCTCAGCAGCTGTGGAAGCTAGTGCTCGATACTTGGCCTTAGTGGAGGATCGAGATACAATATTCTGTTTCTTTGAGGACCAGGAAATAGGATTAGAACCAAGAAATACAACCATGCCTGTAGTGGATAGACGATCATTGGGATCCCCTGCCCAATCAGCATTGTTGAAAGCTTGTAAATCGAACCCTCCTTTGGTATAATGCAAACCACAACCTTTAGTTGCTTTCAAATAGCGCAAAATTCTTTTTACTGCCACAAAATGAGCTTCCATAGGGCACTGCATAAACTGAGATACTTGATGTACTGCAAATGCAATATCTGGCCGAGTGAAAGTAAGATAGTGAAGGGGTCCCACAAGACTTCTATACAAAGCTGGATTATTATATGGCTTCCCATCATCTTTGAGCAATCGATTATAGGGTAAACATGGAGTAGCACATGGCTTAGACATCTTCATTCCAGATTTAAGAAGCAAATCAGTAACATACTTACCTTGAGACAGAAATAATCCATCCTGCTTATGAATAACCTGAATCCCAAGAAAGTAATGTAACATCCTGAGATCCTTAATATCAAATTCTCGAGCAAGGGCATGAATGACATCTGAAATAGCTTGAGAAGCACTGCCCGTGATGATAATATCATCAACGTACAATAATAGGATCACAACACAACCATTCTCAACTTTAACAAACAGAGATGAATCACTATTGGTAGATTGAAACCCCAAAGATGGTAAGAAACTAGTAAACCTCTCATTCCATGCCCTTGGGGCTTGTTTGAAACCATATAAGGACTTGTGCAACTTACAAACATAATCACTGTGAGTAGAGTCCAGAAAACCTGGAGGTTGCTCCATAAAAACTTCCTCTTGTAACACACCATGCAGAAAAGCATTTTTCACATCTAGTTGGCGAAGGGTCCAATTAAATTAAGCAGCCAAAGCAAGTAATAACCTGACTGTAGTGGGTTTAAAAACGGGACTAAACGTCTCACCATAATTAATTCCTTCTTCTTGATTATAACCCTTTGCCACCAAACGAGCCTTATACCTCCCTATAGAACCATCTGCATTCTTTTTAATCTTGAAGACCCACTTGCAGCCGACTAGATTTTTGTGAAGAGGAAAAAGGACAAGAGACCAAGTGCCATGACTATGGAGAGCACTCAACTCATCCTTCATTGCAGCCAATCATATTGGAGACTTGAGAGCAGATTTGTATGTGGCAGGTTCAATTTTAGTTAGATCAGCACCACCATGTTCATGAACAGAAGCTAATAAAGCAATCTTTTTAGAGATCCCACTCTTGGACCGAGTCTGCATAGGATGCAAATTTAATGGTGGTATGGACAAAACCACCTGAAGTTGGTCCCCTTGGAAATCAGGAACCACAGAGAGTGAAGTAGAGGATTGTTGAGCAGTGGCAGTAATGGGTGATGGAAGAATGGAAGAACTGGAGCTGGAAGCATTCAGGGGTGCAGTCGTAGTGGACACAAATTCAGTAATGGGTGCTGAGGACACTGACAGTGATGAGGAAATAGGCACAGATTCAAAACTAGGATGAACTATGACATTATGAAGGTTTGGGATTGGTACAGGTATAGAGGTTTGCATAGGAGGCAATATAGTAGACACTGATAAGGATTTAGGGACTAAAGTAGAATATGGGAACTCAGTTTCATCATACAGAACATGCCGAGATATATAAACCCTCTTGGTATTGACCTCAAAACAAATGTAACCCTTATACTTGGACGCATACCCTAGGAAGATACACTTGGTGGTCCGAGGTTGTAGTTTGTTATGTGTATATGGCCTAAGTAAAGGGTAGCATGAACAACCAAATATTCTGAGATGATGAATCTCAGGAATAAAATTAAACAAGACCTCAAAAGGAGATTTATTATGTAAAGTGGAAGAAGGCATGCGATTGATTAGGTATACTGAAGTATGATAGGCAAATGACCAAAAAGAAGGTGGTAAGGAAGCTGTTTGTAAAAGAGTAATGGATGTCTCTATAATATGTCTATGTTTTCTCTCGGCAAGCCCGTTTTGCTCTGGGGTATGTGGACAAGACATGTGATGACTAATGCCTTTGGTTACCAAAATTTTTTGAAAGGATTTGCCTATATATTCACCCCCACCATCAGATTGCAACACTTTAACTGAAGCATTGAATTGATTGACAATGAAATTATAAAAGGAGACAAAGGTAGTACCAACATCACTTTTATTGCAAATTGGGAAAATCCAACAAAACCTAGTACACTCATCAATGAAAGTAACATAGTAATTGAAACCTTCAACAGAAATACAAGAAGCCAGGCCCCAAACATCACTATGCACAATCTCAAAAGGTTTTACAGATTTGGATGAAGACATAGGGAATGGTAGTCTACTAAACTTGCCCTCTAAGCATGTAGAACAAACACTAGGTAAAGAATTAAGAGTATGAGGAACATTTGACTTTAGAAGAATTTGAGAGACTATGGAATTAGATGGATGACCTAATCTGTGGTGCCAAAGTCGTGAGGTAACTTGTTGTCCAAGATAGGCAGCTGCATAAGCCTTCTTTACTGAAACAGGTGTTGATGGAGAAATGATTGGATATAACTCATTACTGCACTGCTCTTTGTATAAAATCCTCCATGTGGTTTTGTCCTAAATCCAAAAACAAAATGCATCAAAAATTAACCAGCAATTATTGTCCAAACAGATACGATGGACAGATAACAGATTCTGTGTTAATTTCAGAACATATAGAACAGACTTTAGTTGAAAAGACTGCAATGGAGTATGAAGAGTGGAATGACCAATATGAGAAATAGGTAAAGCTGCACCATTAGCTATTTGAATAGATTCATGAGAATGATATGGTGTAGCAAGTGACAAATTGGACAAATCAGTGGTCATATGATTTGTAGCTCCAGTATCTGTGATCCAAACTTGTTGAGGCAATGCAAAAGGCAATGGAGGTGCAGTTGAATTATCAGACTTGTGATTGACATACATGGCAGTCATTGGAGAGGAAGAACCTTTCTGAAAATAGAACTCGGCACTATGATTTGGGTTACCACAGATTTGACAACCATTAGACTGAGCAACATTTCGAAATCTGCAAGTAATAGCCATATGATTAGGTTTGCCACAAATCTGACATCCTTGAGAAGACTGAAACCTACATGTGTCAACCAAATGATTTGTCTTGCCACAGATTTGACAAGGAATGAGTGGAGTTGTTCCAAACTGTGGAGCCAAGCCAAGAATACCCGAACCAAAATTACCATTGTTGAAGAACGGTTTAGAGTTATTGAACCTGGTAGTCGAATTGAATATGCCCTTATTCTTATTGGTAAAAGATTTATAGCCAGGATTAGTGTTATATGAAGGATATGGCCTCCCAGATTGAGACTGTGACTGAAAAGTGGAGGGTTTTGGAGATTGAGCCACTAAGGCATTAATCATAGGAGCAGTATTAAGAGTCTCAATCATGGCTTCTTCTACAAGCAACTGTGACCTAAGATCCTTCAATGAAATAACTGATTCACGCCCCAGTATCACAAACCGAA